AAACAACAAGCCCTTCATCAATTAGAGACTGATATGATGGAGGGACATCCTCCAAACTATTACACTCCGTAATCAAGGAAACTCAGTGTGAATCCATTAAAAACCATTTATTGGGTAGAAATTATTGCACTCACATGAAATAAATGAAAGCATGCCAAAATATCCACAATAACTGTTAAGGGTATCTGTATATCACATGAAGCGTGCGGTTCACCTGATCCTCCTCGTTGCACGCGAGAGATACGTCACTTCCGGCGGGGTATGTAAAGTGGATGCCTCATTACAGGATACATCGTGCGGTGGTCAGTCTAGTGTCTTTTTACATTGGTGTTTAGTGGATAAGTGACCCCTTACATTGGAAATCAGTGTAGTATCAAATATTGTTAGTGCAATAACCCCTTACATTAATTGTTAATGTAGTACTTTACATTAGTGGTCAGTGAAATGTCTCTTTACATTGGTGGTATGTGGAGATGTAATCCCTTGCACTGATAATCAGTGTAGTAGCTGATACTATTGGTGGTCAGTGTAGTGTCTCCTTATATTAATGGTCAGAGTAGTGTCTCCTTACATTGGTGGTCAGAGTAGTGCTCCTTATATTGGTAGTCAGTGTAGTGTCTCCTTATATTGGTGGTCAGTGTAGTTTCTCTATAATTTGGTGGTAAGTGGAGAAGTGATCTGTTACATTGGTGGTCAGTGTAGTATCTGATAACTTTGGTGTCAATGTGGTGTCTCCTTACATTTGAGTCAATTTAATGTCCCCTTGCATTGGTGGACAATTGAGAAGTATTAACTTGCATTGGTGGTGAGTGTAATAACACTAATGGTTGGTGTAGTATCTCAGTAGTATCTCAGAGTGGAAGCAGCAAATTGTTTATTTCATAGGGACACCATCAAGAGGATGGGACCAAATTTGATGCCTAAAACTTTAATTTCCTTTTGGGGCTCTGGGAAGGGGGATGTCTAGGGGATGTGAAAGGACAGAAAGAAAAGCCACACACCCAGAGACTAACAACAGCAAGATTTGGGGACTGGGGTGTCTGGAGCGCAAAGCCTTCGCCTTCTTCTCATCCAGAAAACCTCACTCTTATCCTGATTGATCTTTAAGCCAGATGCCTCAGCATCTTTCCCCATCACTGAGGCCACCTCCCCTACCTCCTCTGCCCCAGAGATGAAACCAGATATGTCATCAGCATAGGCTACAACCCTAAGAGGAGGCTCACCAGAAATGCCCAAAAGACTCCACACAACTGTCCACTCTCTAACCTGCTAATGAAAGGATCGATTGCAAACACATATAGTAAAGGACACTTCTGATGCAAACCTCAGCTAACCTCAAAGGGCTGTCCGATCCAACCATTAGCCATTTCATCCCCCCTGTAAAAGGTCTTCAACAAATCGATAAAGCCCCCCTCCAGGCCATACTTGCCAAGAAACAGCCATAGATGCTCATTATTGACTCAATCAAAAGCTTTAGCCTTATCCATTGCCGGCAGGAACTTTCCTCAGCCTGCAGCCCTTCACTGTTCCAGGGCCTCCTGGACAGCTAACACAACTAAAAAAGTGCTTCTACCCTGAACTGAACAGTGCTGGCAATGAGAAAGTAAATTGCCTGCTACAGATGATAAAACACCAGAAAATTATTTTTGTCAAGTATCTTCCTTTTGACATTGAAAAGGCTAATAGATTGCCAGTTCTCAATTTTCGAAGAATCTTTACCCTTTGACAGAAGAATCTCTGCAAATTGTCACACGGAGGGAGAAAGCGAACCCTCTCTCAGTCAGCCATTTAAAACCTCCACCAAATATATAAAGTGCTTATAAAACTCATATGTAAATCCGTCTGGCCCAGGTGACTTTTTAATAACATCAGAAAGATTGAGATAGATTTTTCTTAGCCTGCTTAGCCCCCTTCCCACTCAGAGATCCTACGCGCTTCTATATTCCTTGTGATTCCTCTTCCATAGAAATCCCTGACTCCTCACCAGAAACATTCTCACCCTCCACCTCAGAAAACACCTCAAATATATTTGGCACCTCCACCCCCACCAGTTTTGGAGAACTGACATCCTTCCTCCTCCTCTGCCTTTTACCAGGTTTCCTTTTAGCTTCCAACCATTCCATATCCTTACTTGACAATTCTGATGGGAGAACACCCCCACCCCACCCAGGACATCCTCCGCCAAAGCTCCCACATTTACCCCTCTCCCCACATCATTTAACCAACCTTCACATCATTCACCTTGCCTTCTTTATCAGCCACTCTCATCCCCTTCGCAACTACCCCCCTCCACCACCAACATCCAATCCATCACCCATTCCACCCCTCGGCATCTGCTGACGTCTGCCATGCCAAAGAAGAAGGGTTGGTACAACCATACGTGCTGGTCCAGCACTCTTTAACTCTAGGAGAAACAACAGGTTCAGACACAGACTTGATAACCACACTTTCTGACACTAACTGGGGAACCACAGACTGGGGGGGCACCAACACCTCAGACGGCCTCACAGACACAGATTCTGCTGGGACACTAAAGTCCCCTGATACAACCTCAGTCAACTCAGACTCTTTCCTGTCCAGGTGAAAGAACTCCTCCACTAACTCTGGCTTATTGTGCATAGTCTAGGGGCACCGGCTATAAGGGTGAGCAATCTGATCACATAAGTTGCACCTAATAATCGTACAGTGTCTCGGCAGATGCCCCAGGCGCTGAAACAAAGAGCACGTCTGTTCTGGACAGGAAGAGAAGAAATGTCCTTTGACTCCACATTTATGACACAGCTTAGGTTGACCAGGGTAGAGGAATGGTAATCCTATTTCTACTAATAAAGGTAGAGGAGGGCAAATGCTGGACCACATTCCCACACGCTCTCAACCTCATCGACACCCACCCATATTCCTCTATCATCCACAATCTTTTTTAAGGGACACCACATTTCACCAAACCTCTTGAACCACACCAATAAATCCTCCAGGTGTATTCACTCATTCCTAGTCAAGATAGTCACATTTTTAATCAAGGGTTGCCGTGATATTACCTTGGGGACAAGCCCCTTCCAGTCCAGCTGGCCCCTATACACATGCTCATACCATTCCCAAAACAGATCTAGCGATTCTGGATGTACAAATGATAAATCATACTCATAGGAACCCACAGGGCTAGAGATTAGAGCATAAATATTCTCTGTCTTAAATCCCATGGCTAGGATCCTGTCCACAACCACCTTACTGGTAGGTGGAATACCTTCTCCTTCCCACCTGAGCTTTACAACATTCCTGCATTTAATGGCATAAGGTGAGCTAGGCAAAAGATTCACAACTGGTTCCCTTCCAGCAGCAGCATGACTTTGTCCAAATACAGCCTTAGCATAGCTCCTACCTGGGACAGATGACACAGAATTCCCAGGTTTAGATACATTTTCTAGCTGCATAGGATCGTCTGAACTCAGGTTTGGCAGACTACCCACCACATGATCTTTCCTCCAGCACAGCAGTCCCACTCACCATACTCCCAGAAGTACTACAATTACCAGAAGTCCTGTTACCACATAAAGTCCTTTGTTCAGAAAAAAACACCTGCTGTCTTAGTGTCCATATGGCAATCTTGCTCTGCAGTCTTAGTGTCTATGTGGGACTCCTGCTCCTTGTTCCCGCCATCTCCTCTTGCATCCCTTGCCGATTGTAAAGATTGGTCAGCAGACACAGTCTCTCTCTCTGTAGCAGCAATCACAGGAAAGTCCTCCACACACAGAGAGATTTTCTATAAGCATTTCCTTACCCACATTTCCGTGAACTGAAAAAGTTCCAGCATGTCCTCCATCAGCAGACACTGTATTACTGCCACCATCTTGAGACTTAAACGATAACTTGTCCACAAATTTCTCCCTTACAAGCCGAGAGACGACATGCTCCTCCTTATCTGACAAGTCAGTGGGAAATTTAAACTTCCTGCCACTCAAGGGAGATTCCATTTCCTCAATGGCTTCCAACAATCTGCCATTTTCCTCAACCTTCTCCAGAGATGACTCAGGCTGCTGGGGAGAGAGGGGGGCAGATACGGACTTGGATGCAACAGATCCTGAGACAGGGGTAGTACTGGGGCCAGCATGTGAAACCACTTCCTTACCCCCCAACCATACTGTCACCATTGCTGTGGTATCCGCCCTCTGGCTAGGACTAGCACAGACACCTTTCTTCATCTTCTGGAACCTTTCCTTATTCTCAAAGGTCTACCTGAACACTCCGCTGCTTTCTTTCAGAGAGGCGACTAACTTCTTTTGCTTTTTCAATGCCTCCTCCAGAGATTCACCTTGGAGTCTTGCCTCTTACTGCTCCATGTCTTGCCATGCAGAGTCTTCTTTTTCCTGAATTCCGCTTTCAGGACAGCAAGCTTCTGCTCCTCAGTTATGCAACAAAGTTTATTCACCACTCTGTCCTGGAAAGCGGGTAAGGGCTCAAGCCCAAAATCCATGGCAGCTTGAGCATGTGCCGTAGGCCTCAGTCCCTCTGGAGAGCCCCTGCCTTCATCTTCCCTGGCCTGCTGCATCCTGGATGGGGAAAGGGCTGTAGGAGAGCCCCCGGCTTGGTGTTGCTCCTAGCTGTGATCAGAGCAGAGTGAGCCAGCAGCACCTTGGAGAACAGCACCACCTGCTGGAGAGACAGATGTGACTGGCTCAGTGTTCTCTGTACAGCACTGCAGTATATGTCACAGCTATATAAATGTATGATAATAGTATGTAACTGTGGGGTACATTAGAATGTAAGCCTCTCTGATGTAGAGACTGGTTTAGTGTTCTCTGTACAGCACTGCAGTATATGTCACAGCTATATAAATGTAAAATTATAATGGTTTGTGACCAGGGCTGAATCTAGGTGGGTGCTAGGGTGGGCTGTACCTTCCCCAGATTTTAGCTGTGCCCCTCCCAGGTCTCTGAGAGCGCATCTACTAATCCATAAGTCAGCCTAATGCAGACAGTTGATCAGGGGCGGATTGATAACTCATGGGGCCCCCGGGCAATAGGGGATCATGGGCCCCTGTGTCCTTGCCCAAACTCAAAAAAGCCTATGAAAAAGGTACCAGGGGCATCTCATGGGGCCCCCTACTGATCCCGGGCCCTGGGGCAGTGCTCGAGTTTCCAAATGGTCAGTCCGCCCCTGCAGTTGATGTAAGGAGGCACTTACATCAACAATCCATGTAAGGGGGAACTCCAATTTGGGCACCTGCTGTAAGGGGGCATGCTGAAGGGGGACGGGGATACCTGATGTAAGGGTGCACTCTGATCAGGGAAGGGGATACATGAGGTAAGGTGCACTCTGATCGGGGATGGGGACACCTGATGTAACGGGGACTCTGATGGGGACCTAGAAGCAAGGGGGGCTCTGATGAGGGCCTGCATATAAGATGGGCTCAGATGGGGACCCAGATGTGAAGAGGGACTTCTAAGAGACTTTTAAGAGGACTGTGATGTAAAGGAGGACTTCGATGGAGACACTGATGTAAGGGGGCACTCTGATGGGAAACTGATGTAAAGGGGGACTCTGATGGGGACCTGGAAGCAAGGGGGGCTCAGATGGGGACCCAGATGTGAAGGAGGACTTCTAAGATGAACTCTAAAGGGGACTGTAATGTAAGGGTGGACTTTGATGGAGACACTGATGTAAGGGGGCAATCTGCTGGGAACCTGATATAAAGGGGGGAGTCTGATGAGGACTCCTTAAATAAAAGGGGACTGATAGGGACATCTGATTTAAGGGAGCACAGGTTCTTTTTAATCACCCTAATCTCAAAGCCTAATCCATAGTAGTATTTCCCAAGTTGTGACACTGTGTGAAAGACTGCCAGTGACTCACACTGTATTGACATTATGCTCCCTGACTTTTTTTTTACTGCACCCCCAAATCAGATAAGCTAGATCCGGCCCTCTGTGACTGTGGGGGAACATTAGAGTGTAAGCTCCTCTGGTGCAGACACGGATTTGACTGACATACTGTATACTGCAGTGCTGCACAGAGAACACTGTCAGATCTATATAAATGTATAATATTAATAGTAATAATAACGTGACTGTGGGAGGACATTAGGGTATGCATTTGTGTTTGTTAAAAATCTTGCAAACTAACAGCTTGTTAATAAAGATATATTTACATATATACAAAAATAAGTAAAATAAAAAAAACATAGATACATAACAAAAACAAGCAAGCTGTAATAAAAAAGAAAACAGCTTTTTGCAAAAATTTTAAAAAAAATAGAACTATATACAAAGAAACCTTTTTATTGTATTTTTATTACCATTAACTACTAAAAGGATATTAGAGTGTAGCTCCTCTGATGTAGAGACCGATGTGAATGGCTGATATACAGCACTGTGGTATATGTTAGAGATGTAAAGATGTATAATAATAGTGTCTGACTGTGGTGGAAATTAGAGTGTAAGCTCCTCTGGTACAGAGACTGGCGCAGTGTTTTCTGTACAACAGTAGGGAATATGTCACAGCTATACAAATGTATAATAATACAATTAAATGTGTGTGCATGTGAAGAGGACATTAGACTGTAAGCTCCTCTGGTACAGAGACCGATTGACTAGCTCAATGTTCTCTGTAAAGCACTGCAGAATATGTCAGAGCTCTAAAAATGTAAAACTGCCGCAAACAAACTTATAAATCTATAGAATGTTGTATTTCCTATTTTTGGTCCTCTTATCCATAGAAATGTCTTTATAGTTGAAGAATTGTCCTAGTGAAGCTGTCTGGGTCAAAGCTTTCTCTCTCAAGGTTTTAAACAAGAAAAATATGAGGAAAAATTCATTCAGGGTATATGATTGGTTCGTAGAGAAGGAGGGAGTTTGTTTTACAGATAAACATTGCTCACAATGAAAAGGGCTTGGCCGTTTATTGTGGATTTTCTATAACAGGATATGCAAGGTGGTTTCAGTTCTTTTCCTATACTGCAGAGAAGCTGATCTAATGAGCACCCATAAATACCTTCAGGTTTCATGTAGAGAAGAGTATCTGGAGTTGGGTGAGTATTTCATATTGGGGCTATCCTGTCATTGTGCGTTATGACATTTTTACATAAATCTGCATGATCTGGTTTATAGTTTAGAACAGTTCTTTTCAAGATCGAGGAATCCTTGAAATAAAGTTCTGGTTCTAGGGAACCCTGAGTGTCAGTGAGAACTTACTGGGGTTTATTTACTAAAGCTGGAGAGTCCAAAATCAGACTCCCTTCTGCATAGAAACCAATCAGCTTCCAGGTTTCATTGCCAAAGCTTCATTGAACAAGCTGAGGTTAGAAGCTGATTGGTTTCTATGCAGAAGGGAGTCGGATTTTGGACTCTCCAGCTTTAGTAAATAAACCCCACTGTGTCTGAGAGGCAGAACTTGCTCACTGCTAAAGGAACCCCTAGCAATCTCTGGAGGAACCCTGGTTAAGAAGAATGGAGATGGAGTTCCATTTGATGGAATCATTTCCATATAAAATCGGAATCTCTGCTAACACCAGGGCTTGTATATCATGTTTCTGTTATATCTGTAAGACTTGAGGATCTCAGCTTGTGTGATGGAGTTCTTCCCACAGATGTCCACATAGAGATTGTTAATGTGGTCAATGATTTTCACTCTACTGATTTCTGATTAACAATTTCTGAAGTGACAGTGGCTAATGGCTAGACTTGGTCTCCTGAAAGCTTTCCCTAATGCTCCTTGTATGACAGCAAAAAGTTATTAGAATGATCCATTGTGATTAAGCAGCATCAGAAAAGACCACGCACAGTGTATAAGGTATATAATTATTCATTATATACTATATTTCATTCCATCATGGCAACTAATGATGAGCTGAACGTATCTGGGTTTGGCAGGTTCGTCAAATTTTACAGAAGTTCTGGTGCCAAGTCCAAACCCCATCAACTTCAATAGAATTTGAATCTTGGAGATCAGTTATGGCCATTTTCTAGACTAATAGTCATGAGATTGTCACAAATGGCATAGGGGGCTAGACACTGTCCTGAGAAACATTTACCAAAGCAAGACATTTTAAAATTGGAACAGAAATTTTAATAATGCTTAAGAGTATGCTAAACCAATATTTCATATTCCATATATCTGTTCTGCTGTGTATTTGTGTTAAAAAGTGTACTGTTCTCTTTGCATTGCTTCCTTTGTGACTGCCATGACTTGTGCTGACAACCCCCCATGCACAGCCATTCTCTGGAAAGTTCAGTGTAATGCTGTTTCTTTCCCTCTGCTGACAAGTTAGCCTCCATCCCCACCTCTCTAAGTCCCTTATCCAGCTGAGAACAGCAATCATGTGATCACCTATAAAGAAAAAAAAATACATAAATATATGTACATACATACAGTATACTGCATACGCTATATTGTCAAAAGTATTGGTCGGCCGGCCTTTACACGCACATGAACCGTAATGGCATCCCAGTCTTAGTCCGTAGGGTTCAATACTGAGTTGGCCCCGCCCTTTGCAGCTATAACAGCGTCAGCTCTTCTGGGAAGGCCGTCCACAAGGTTTAGGAGGGTGTCTATGGGAAGGTTTGACCATTCTTCCAGAAGCACATTTGTGAGGTCAGGCACTGATTTTGGACAAGGAGGCCTGGCCCGCAGTCTCCACTCTAATTCAACCCAAAGGTGTTCTATTGGGTTGAGGTCAGGACTCTGTAGTTCCTCCATCTCAAACTCGCTCATCCATGTCTTTATGGACCTTGCTTTGTGCACCGGAGTGCAGTCATTTTGGAACAGGAAGGGGCCATCCCCAAACTGTTCCCACAAAGCTGAGAGCATGAAATTGTCCAAAATGTCTTGGTATGCTGACACCTTAACAGTTCCCTTCACTGGAACTAAAGGACCAAATCCAACCGCTGAAAAACAACCCCACACCATAATGCCCCTCCACCAAACTTTACACTTGGCACAATGCAGTCAGGCCAAAACCCAGACGCATCAGATTGCCAGACAGAGAAGCATGATTCGTAACTCAGGAAACACGTCTCTACTGCTCTAGAGTCCAGTGGCGGCGTGCTTTACACCATGGCATCTGACACTTTGCAGTGCACTTGGTGATGTTAGACTTGGATGCAGCTGCTCGGCTATGGAAACCCATCCCATGAAGCTCTCTATGCACTGTTGTGCCAATCTGAAGGCCACATGAAGTTTGGAGGTCTTTAGCTATTGACTCTGCAGACAGTTGCCGACTTCAGCGCACTGTGCGCTTCAGCATGCACTGACCCCATTTTGTCATTTTACGTGGCCTACCACTTGGTGGCTGAGTTGCTGTTGTTCCCAGTTGCTTCCACTTTGTTATAATCCCACTAACAGTTGAGCGTGGAATATTTAGTAGCCAGGAAATGTCACGGATGGACTTATTGCACAGGTGACAACCTATCACGGACCACGCTTGGAGTCACTGAGCTCCTGAGAGCGACCCATTCTTTCACCAATGTCTGTAGAAGCAGTCTGCATGCCTAGGGGCTTGATTTTATATTCCTGTGGCCATGGAGGTGATTGGAACACCTGAATTCAATGATCTGGAGGGGTGTCCCAAAACTTCTGGCAATATTGTGTGTGTGTGTGTACATACACACACACAAATATGCTTTGCCATGCATTTCTATTGTAAACAGAATGGATTATTTGCAAGGTAAGGGTTAACATATAACAACATTAAAAATGCAAAATTCTCTTGAACATGTCTGGGAGATGCTCTGACTCTGCCTGTGAAGAGGCACATCTGTTTATAACCTACTACAGCAAAAGTGACCTTTACAAAAAATAAAATTGCTGTTTAAATTGCCAACAAAACAGCACCCATCTACTTACTGTTGCTGCAAAAAAGTGACCAGAGATTCCATTAATCTGCACCAGACCTTTATCCTGGATGAGAGTCTGATATAGATGTTAATGGTGATCCCACAAAAATGTTATGGTGTTTTCTCCTAAAAATGTCAACAGCTTAACTACCTCTCTCTATTAGTCTCCACTCAATGTAGGCCTCTGTTATCATGTGAGACAGTGTATTTAATTTAACCCTTTACTTCTGTGTATTTGTTTGCTTG